TCTTTGTCTTTCTGTCTCTCTTTCTCTGTCTCTGTCTCTCTGTCTCTGTCTCTCTGTCTCTGCCTCTCTGTCTCTGTCTCTCTGTCTCTGTCTCCCTGTCTCTGTCTCTCTGTCTCTGTCTCTCTGTCTCTGTCTGTCACTGTCTCGGTCTCTCTGTCTCTGTTTCTCTGTCTCTGTCCCTATCTCTCTGTCTCTGTCTCTATGTCTCTCTGTCTCTCTGTCTTTCTGTCTCTCTGTCTCTGTCTCTCTGTCTATGTCTCTCTGTCTCTGTCTCTCTGTCTTTGTCTCTGTCTCTCTGTCTCTCTGTCTCTGTCTCTCTTTCTCTGTCTCTCTGTGTGTCGTGGAATGATAAGCCATTACGCATCAGTCCGTAAGACTGGTAACCTGACTTACCTGTGTTCGGCAAAATTTCAAACTTGGACTCGTCCGGAAAGATATAGTCCCTTATATCTATATATATAGGCCTTTATTGGACAACATTATTATGTCTACATTTTCTGGTTGCTTTAACTAAACTCCACTTTTAAATGTATATATCTTTGATATATATTAGAGGAGTTATTTGAGGTTTCTTAGAAACCGTTGCACTCCTTGCCCATGTATACTAGGGACTTCTTTTTTTACCAACGCCTGAAGTGCGTAAGTGACGCCATTCTTTCTTGTCGGTTCCAAGCGTCCAGACGTGTCAATCTATGCCTGTATAATTTCACTTTCACAAGGCGATCTGGAATGTCTCAGTTTTTGCATATGCTTGGGATGTATCCTTTGTGAGGAGCTGGCAGAAGTTTCACAGTCCCACCAACCCCCACCAACCATAAACCAACCATAAACTAACCACCAGCTGACACCTGTGAAGGTTCCTGACATCATCACTATGTGGGAGCTTATAACTCAAACAGCCTACCAGTGCTAGAGCTTAGTGTAGCTCAAAGACAGTGTGTGTCCTGACTGGTGATAGAGACTTGCTAAGTACCAGTACAGTGCTGTGGCCTCTATGGTGAGGTACTCTCTTACTACTTGATCCAGTGGAGCAGAATTCCCAGAGTCAAAGACAGTCGAATCATCCGGAGCTGAGGGAATCATCATAGACAGAAAGAGGAGAAGCTAAGTTTGATGCCTGATTTGTTTTGTGCCTCACAGCTCCTATGTTTCACAATGATGACATAGAGTCATCTCCTAGACCTACTGTCTGTGTAGTATCTTTGGTATCTAGACATTATATTCTGAGATTCTTCCACTGATAGCTGGAATTCACTTCATTATTATATGTATATTACACTGATTACATGCATTCATTTTCATGGCTGACTTAGGTGTCTCTATTTCACCTTTTTAAGTGTTTAGCAGTTGTGTGTGTATGTATCTTCATTATATGTGTTAACATGGTTATAATAATGAACTATCATAACCTGGGGGCTTTCTTTAGTAAGTAGTGGGGGTGTCCAGCCAAGTGTGCCTAGAAATATTGTATTCATATACTGACATATTTTGTAGTGCCAATACTTGAGTTGCCCTACTCCAGAGATAAGTTGAGCGTATATTGGCCACGGGGAATCCCTTAGACCAATACGAGCCAAACGACTCAACATAATTATCTCTGAGTGCTGTTGGTTCTGAAGGAGAAATCCCTACATTAGGCACGCGACAGGAGTGATATGTGACACTGTGTCTCTGCCTCTCTGTCTCTGTCTCTCTGTTTCTGTCTCTTTCTCTCTAGATAGTTCTCCAGCCCTGTGTGCTGTCATAGCCAGTGTATCTTCAGTGTCCTGTATCCAGTTCCCGAAAGTCGGCATCAGCCTCGTTTTCCGGAAACTGCACACTCCATCGCTGTTCTCTCCTGACCACCAAAGCGCTTGAAATGATGGGTGTATAAAAACTACATAGTAATATTTATGTGTGTGTATGTGTGGTTGTCTGTGTGGCTGTGTGTGTGTGGTTGTGTGTGTGGGTTGTTGTGTGTGTGTGTGGTGGATGTGTGTGTACGTGCGTGGTTGTGTGTGTTGTTGTGCTCAGCATGAAGATCACTATCATGTCCATCAAAGGCTGCTTAGACTCTCTCAAAACGGTGCTTAATGTTTATGCATTATTGTTTCAATTCAATTATGAATTGAATGTAGCCAAACGATAGACAGTGGCAGCGGGTTTTTACCAGTACAAATTCGAGGACCGCAAGGAGAAACTTGACACTTTTCGTTGACTCCACAATCACTGTTGGTTTTACAGCGAATACCACTACATGTTCGCTTTTTCTGAAAAAAAGAAAAAAAAATGAGTGTGTGTTTTGGTATAGGAGACAAAACGACATATATAAACACACACGCACACACGCACAGAGAGAGAGAGAGAGAGAGAGAGAGAGAGAGAGAGAAGGGAGACAGAGAGAGACACAGAAAGTGTAAAAGACAAGGCAATGAAAGTGACAGAGTGTGACGACACACTCTGTGACTTCAGAATGTCATTCCTCAACCTACTTTTGTGTCTATGTATTTTAAAGAATACA